AACTGGCTGGCCTCTGCAGCTATGCTTTGCCAATGCCTGTGCATGATTTCGTGTCCCGTATCATTTTGCTGGTAAGCACATAGGCACTCGGCGGATGTTCCTTTAATTATCACTCCCACAGATCCCAGACTTTGCTTATTTGAAGATAACTGCTTTTCAGCCTTTTGACTAAGATCAAGTAAAGATAAGTGCAGATTGGTTCGAGTGGAAAATTGGGCAAGTCTGGAGAGGCTACTCCAGAACTTGTGGTATGGAACAGATGAGAAGCGCCCTCTGTGAGGCTCTGGTTTTTGGTCGTTCAGAGAAGCGCAGTCATTTCACCTTTATCTTCCTGCTCTGCTCACCCTACCTCACCAAGGGTTTCCAAAAAGCACTCTGAGAAGACGCTGTGTTTAATTTTGTACAGATATGAAGCCTTGGCTGCGGGGAGTTGGCTTTGGGGCTGGGTCACTCTGGTAACACTTCCCACATGACTTGATCAATGGGTGGGCCATGAAAACTTATCCTGTGTTTTTTTACACCCCACCCCCAAACCACCCAACCTGCCCAAGTGTTAGTTTTTCAAAGCCAGTGAAGTTTCAAAGGCCTGAACCCAACACAGCAGCCTTTCTTCATGCTTTGATTTTCTGCCCATTAAGTGTTTGTCACTGAGTTCAGATTTCGCCTCCTCTGCAGCCTACACATCCCACGAAGCCCCTAGAGGTATAGGAACTTAATTGATCCTTGATTAAAAAGAGGCTTGAGCTTGGGTCTAGACACTTTAGATTATTCTTTCTCTTCTGGCTCTGATTTGCAGAGAGCTCATAACACACATTTTATTATCAATAAATCTAAACTCTAGGATATTGACTTCAGATCTTTGATTGAATTAGACATGTGTGTATCTAATTAGTATGTGTGTGGCATGTGGTAGATTTTCTTCAGTGAACATTAGCTAGAGGGCTGCCATGACTGTTCTGAAACTCTTTCTTCCTTTCTTTCTCTCTCTTTCTTTCTTTCTTTCTTTCTTTCTTTCTTTCTTTCTTTCTTTCTTTCTTTCTCCCCCCCCCCCTGCAGCAACATGACGGTTACTGAGAGAGCTTCAGCTCATTTATTCCTACTCATGGGCGCTTCTGTTTTAAGTGACTCACTCTAGAAAGCACCCAAGATTTTTAGTCAGGTCATTTAAATCCCATCCAGCTTCAGCATTAACTTACAGGGTGACTCTGCTAAATCACTGTAATCGCTTTGAACCGTAGGGTGGTTTTACATACTAGTTCTCTGTGATTGGCTGTTGGGCCTCTTGAAGGTTGGGACTTAGCCGCTTTCATCTCCGTAGCCAGCAAGTAACTAGGTTGTTAGACCACAACAGTGAGGGGGATGGGGGACAGCTCCTCAAGTGTGGGCCCAAGATGCTTGCTCAGTAAATGGTAACTGTCATTATTAGTCTTTGTGCTGTGTTTCTCTTTCTTCTGTTCATTGTTTGTCTATCTTTTCCTGACGGTAGCAAAATTTGAAATTGTATCCTGTAGCAGTTGTCGTTTTGTAATTGCCAGGGCTGGAATCCTTAATTTGCACAGCGTGTTTTCATGGGAGTACATGGTCCATGGGATCCAGAAACTTCTCCTACTGATGCAAGGGTCAACTTAAGTCTCCATCCCATGCGGGACACAGCTAGTGACCCAGTAGAGTCATTTTGTTCTCTAAATATCTCACTGCAAAAGCATCAGTCATTGCACTGGGAATGTTTTGGCACTCTTGGGTGTGTGACTCCTTAACAACTTCTCCAGGGAAGAGGCTATGTCTAGCATCTCACCGACCAGTGTTGGGAAGTGTGTGTGTTTGTTTGAAGCTAAATGAAGACAATAGAAAATAATAAAAATGGCGGCAGTGATGGGAACTGATACCCTGCTTGGGAAAGGACACCACCTTCTCTTCCTCTCATTGCTATCCCATAGCAAAGCATGGTCTTCTGTCTCAAGAACTAGTTGTCCGGTTGGGGAAGTGTTTATTCAGTTTCTGTCAACTCTTTCTGGAGCAAAGTCAAGATTTGACTGGCATCACCCTCAGTAAATACCACAAGTTTGTAAAAGAGATAGAGAATGCCATTGGGTTTTCTAAATGATATCTCCACGCCTTTCAAGAAAATAAACAGATTCTATTTAGATCCAACTTCATGTCTGTTTGCAGTCATCACCCGTATAATCAGAACCGGAAACCCTCCCCAAGCCACAGGCAAATAAAGCATCTATCTGTGTTGCTCCCAGCCAAAGAGAGGGCAAAAGAACTAAGCAGATGGTTTTCCTTTCTGAGCTATCTCCTTGAGCCGGTTCTCTCCTTGTGACATTGATCAAGTGTCCCTAGTGTGTCTTAAACTGTGCCATTATTGCCCAGTGTATTGCTTTGAATTTTTTTCAACTGATGTGGTGTGTGTGTGTGTGTGTGTGTGTGTGTCTCTTCTCTGACTGGATTAGAATCTCCCTGAAAGTAGTATCTGGGTGTTTTTGTATTTCTGCACTGACCAAACATAGTTAAAATCAACACATACTCACTGAGTAAATGAATGAACACATCAGTTTATTCCATCGTCATCTAGTAAGACTGAGGTTAGATTTTATTCTTCTCATTTAGAAGATGAAAAAGAGAATTTTGAGGATGTGAAATAACCTTCTCAAACAGAGCAACAACCCGAGACTGTCAGCCTAACTCTTAACTCCAGAGCTCTTTTATGCATGTCTTATTGTCCTCAGAAACATGTTCTACGAGCCTATCATGTGAAAATTTTTGACTGTAGATGCTGGAGGTCTAAGAGTGAACCACCCAGAGTCTGTTCCTATCCCGAGGAATTTTCTTAGAAACATTTTGGCCCCCAGGCATCTCAGAGGCCTCAACTCAGCTAAGAGTCATGCCACCATCACAACTCAGGGAACTCTGAAATATCAGTTATAACATCAGTTTCTGTCTTCTCGGCCTCTCTTCATAGCCAACTTGGTCCTATTTCAAAGTATCTAGGGCACAGAGTAAAGATGGCCTGAACTGGTCTGATATCCATCCCAGGCTCCCAACCCCAGAATATCAGCTGAATTCTGTCGCTACAATGCCAGCACATTTATCCACTGCCTTTCCACTCCCTCTACTCCAGGGCAGAGAGAGTTTCAAAAGTTAATGGTTATTGCCTTTCAGGGCCCCTCTGTGTTTACTTTGAGAAGGTCAGGCCCGATACTGTGGTGTGTTGCTGTTCTTCTTTTCAAAGCACTAGTATGAATTTGATAAAGTAAATTGTTGTTCTAACAGGAAGCAGTTAGGGGTCACAAAATAAATAGTCGTAGAATTCAAATAAATCCAAAGAATAAAACCAAATAAATCCATGTGTGTATGCACTGTGATACATAAAACACTTTTTTTTTTTTTTTTTGAAAGCTAGTGTTTTTATCGCTGCTGGTCTGGACCAAAGTAATTGAAAAATTGTGCAGTTCGTGGTACTTTTTTCTTCCCCCCAGAGGCCGCCTGGAGCTTTGAGCAACGTGACGTGAATATAATTTTTAAAAAGTGAAAAGAGAATTTCATCTTTTAAACAATTACTTATCTTGGTGTTTTTTTTTTGTTTGTTTGTTTTTGTTTTTTTCCTGCTAATGAATTTCACGTTTGGATGAAACCAATTTGCAAAGTTAAATTAGGGATTTAGGTACTTAGATGGTAGACTTCAAGCCCTAAATGAGCTCAAGATTCCAAGTTTTTTGCTGTCCCCTGAAAGAAGGAGGGAGGGAGTAGTGTTTAAACGATGCTTTAAAGTGACCTCTCTAGTCTGCTGTAATATTTGTTACACAAACACAGAAAAAGTCCTTGACATTTGTGAGTCTTAGGAACAGTGTGAGCCAAACCCTGGTACCTGTTTCCTTGGTGTCCAGAGGAGGACTGGCAGAGCTGGAGGAGAGAGCTTCTGGTCCCAGGCATGCCTTGGGTCAGGGTTGGAGACTTCCTGTTATTCAAGCAATGGAGTGGTGCTTTAGCAAGGCAATGACATCATAGTGAGGGCCTTTCAAGAAGTAAATCTGCCGGGTGCAGATTTAATCTCAGCTCTTAGGAGGCAGAGGCAGGTGGATCTCTGTGAGTTCCAGGCCAGCCTAGGCTACAAAATGAAACCCTGTCTCTACAGTAATCATCACCCTAGTAGGATGTGACTGTAATATTCATGCAAGACTTAGGTGGACATCTGCTTTATGCTTCCGGGCTCAGAGGACCTTCTGGGCAGGTGGTAAAATTGCATAGCAGTGAGCATGGAACTAGCTAGCCACTGATACCCAGTCACTGCTACCCAGTGCAGCCTGGTACTCCTGTGCCCTTGTGCTCCTGCCTGGCATATCAGATGCAAGGGCTGACCTCACCTCTACTCTTTGACCTAGAATAGTGAGGGGAAGAGACTGAAGGTGGTATCTATTGAGCCAGATTTTTGGCCAGAGGCTTTAGGTAAAGGAAAGGACTGCTCACGCCATGCATTTTACTGTAAGGTGACTGAGGGGAGGGGAGGTGGACTGAGAACAGGGGCCATCGCGTCATGGCTAGGAGCTGGTGGATCTGGGATTCAGCCCCAAGGTGTCTGACTCAAATGCCCGCACAGCTCCATGGAGCTTGGCCTTCAGATGAGCTTCTCAGAGCAGAGATGGTTAGGGCCCAGGAGTGCTCACCCTTGACTGAACGTCATTAGCCTTGGGCTGCGTTAGTCATTCTTTAAAATGTGGCTTTAATTTTGATCAGGGTATGGTGGGGCTATGGGAGACCCCTTTCCCAGAGAGAGAGGACAATGTCACTTTCTACAGGGCTATGAAAGAGAAGGGAACACGCATAGTGAAAGCGCCACAGAGGCGGCTGAATACCATAAATACGTCCCACAAATGTAGGAATTACATCAGCATTTCTGTCTGCTGCTTGGGTAGCCTCTGCTGTAGGGTGTTCCCTTTTTGCTCCTTTGCACTGATGTTTTGCATTTTCTTTTCCCTTTTCCCCACTGTGTGTACTTCCAGCATCTCTGCCCTTCCTCATCATTGAGACCAGCACCATCAAGCCTTACCGTCGAGGGTTTTACTGCAACGACGAGAGCATCAAGTACCCCCTGAAAGTCAGCGAGACGATAAACGACGCTGTGCTCTGCGCAGTGGGGATTGTCATCGCCATCCTGGCGGTAAGTGCCCTGCCTTTGTCACACGGGTGCGACTTCCTCCTGTGCTACACTGAAAAATAGCCAAGCCAACGGCCGTTTACGACCAGCCAAAAGAGACTGCCACCAAAGAAAACTTTATTCAGCATTATATTGCCTTTTACAGTTAATTCTATTTCTAAAAGGCAACATACACTGGATGCTAAAAACATAAAAACATTTAGAAACGTCTTTCTCTACTATTTAATATGCCCTATCCTCAGAACAACCTAATGGAGTTTAATAATTTCCTCTTCTTCTTCTTCTTCTTCTTCTTCTTCTTCTTCTTCTTCTTCTTC